TATGCAAAAATAAGTATTTATAAGTATGAAAATAAAAAAATAAATTATACTAAATATATTTTTATATTTACAAGTTTATTAAGAAAATAAATTATATCCTATTTAAATAAAATATATTTTATGTGAGAAATAATAAATAAAATAAAATAAAAGTGTAATATTATTAATTTATATTTTTGGGATTTTTATGTTTTAAATAAAATATTAAAAATATTAAATATGAAAACAAAACAAAATAAAAATAAAATATGAAAATGTAAAGAGTTAGCAAGGGGGTGATAAAGCAGATTTGATGGTGAGATGCTAGCAAAAAAACACTGGCCCAATAAACAAGCCCAACCTGCAAAAAATGTGAAAATAGAAAAGAAAAATAGTGAAAAATAACAAAAGTAACGCGCAGGTTCGAACCCAAGACATGGGTCTCACCAGCGCACTGCTTTGCCACTGGGGTGGCTATACTTTCATTATCTTTAGTGAAATAAAAACAACATATCCCAAAACGCGCCCTTGCCCTGTTTCATCTTCTTCCTCAAGCCTTGGTCGGATATCCTGTAACTTCCTCATACTTCCATGAAAATAAAAACTTATAACATGAAAATTATAGTACTTGAACTCACGATTCCAACCATATAAGTTATGTAAACTAATTATCAAAGATCAAGGAGAATTTAAACAGCCCTAAATCTTGACCTAACATTTCTAGAAATTTCAAGTTTCAAATTCTCTTAGCACAAGTAAAATCAATGCAAGATAATGGCATGTACAGCTTCGTTATGATGAGGACTACATTTTTATTCACAAATTGTGGCCTAAGGTTGCCTGTACAAAGAGATAGAGTTTGAAATTTTACCTCCTTCAGTTGGAATCGTAAAATTAACTGGGGTGAGTTTGAGGGAGGCCTGATGCTTGTTTGAGCTTCCTTGAGCTTCCCTGAATTTATTCCAACCCTTGCCTTGCTCTGAAAGTAGCTGGAACGCCTTGGCCAAGTCAATCTGCAAGCTCTGAAATCAACAATGGCAGATGGTGGAAGAGTGATTACAGAATAGGGATGATGGCTTGGATTGACTAGGTATCAAGTATATAAGGTGTTTTAATGATCCAAACTCAAAACGCACGAGCAAAATGGAAGATGGGTATGCTTGTGCAGAAACTGTGTGTGTTGGACAGTTTTTGGTGTTTTGCTTGTTGAGAGCCTTTCAGGTCCTTTCCAATCGTGTTATATGTTGCATAATGTTTGTGTATTAGTATTGAAATGGTTTTGTGTCAACCCTCTATCAGTTGTGCAAGCCCTAGCCTTTTTGCAACTTTTCTTGTACTTGAAGCAAAGTGATAAGACAAAGCTCACATGCTTGTACTGGCTTCCTTAGGGTTGGTATTTCTTCCCTACAAGTTGCCTTTGATCTGTGGTACTTGCATGTGTCAAGGGAACAGGTCCAATGCTCAAGATTGCAAAGTTTGCAAAAGTTGCTCTTTTTCAAAATGACAATGGAACCTTTTTGCCATAAATGGAATTACAAGTTGGATAAAGGTTCAAAAGCATGGATCAAAACTTTTTAAACTGAGTAAGCATTTAATTAAGGAGTTTGGAACAAGTTTAGGACATGTACAACATGAATTATCCAGCATAGGATTGATTTGCAACTTTGTTCTTAATGAAATGGTTTGGACAAAAAGTGAGAAATTGCCAACTTCATCTCTTCGATTCTCCATACTCAAAAATGATCTTGAGGAGTTCTTGGACATTTTGTAAAGCTTGAAATGTGCTCTATAATTCATCTTTGAAATTCATTTTGAGATACCTCTTGGAACTAGGTGAAAATTTTCCATGAAGTTGGGTCAAAAACCTGCCTAAATTAGAGCAAAATTTCACTAAGTTAGGAAGTTCATGACCATGTATTCACAAATTTATATCTTGAGATCCAAGCATATTTAGGGAAAAGTTTGTGAAGAAAAGTTGTATATTTCATGGAGTTATACAACTTTAATGTTGGGGACTTTCCTTGAATCAATATGCATCATGGTGAAAAAGTGGTGTAAAGTTGAGAAAAAACAAGAAAATTTTCTATACTTAGAAAATTTCTAAGTTAGAAAATTTTCAAATTCAAAACCCTAATTTTAAAATTTGGTTTTCTTGATGAACAAGTTTCACATTTGGAAATGTTTTGATGACTTATGACCCTTGGTACTTGATTTTGACCAAAAAGTCAAAGTTTGACTTTTCAGTGTACAGTTGACTTTTGATCAGTTGACTGCAAAATTCATTTGTCAATCCAATGTATTTGAGATGTTTTGAGCCATGTAATTAAGTCAAAATGATTCCATTGAATCCTTGAAATCATGCTTGAACTCAATTGGTCATTTGCTATGTTAAAAATCAGAAATTGCCCTTCCTCAATCAAAACCCTAATTTTGACCATTTTGCCCTTTTTGTGATTTGATCAAATTTCTTGAGGAATTGTGATCCAAACTTGACCAAATGATACATGTGAGTTTAAAATGTGTATGTGGATCAAAAATTATGAAGTTTGACTGTAAATTGGCCATGGTTGACTTTTTCCCCAATACAGCTGATTTTTAGGTCAACTGTCCAATTGATTGATAAAAAATGTGGTTCAAGGCTTGAAACTTGTCATGAGTGATCTTAGGGGTCCATAATGATGTTTGAAAGTCATATGAAGTAATGATAGTCAAAAAATCCTTGTGCAAACTCAAACCTTAATTTTGGGTTATCAGTGCAAGATGAGATGTCTTGAGTTGACCAAACCCTAATCCATTCTTGAGTCAAAGAGATCTTGTGAGAAAGTTTGATATATGAGGGGCCAAATTTTGGGGTACAATAGAGTCAAACTTGTTCAGATGATCTTTAGTATTCAGAATAAAACATGTACATCCAAAAGGATGGAAATAGGAAATGTTGGGCTTTCTGTTCTTCCATAATTCATAAGGAGTCTTTTCCAGAATAGGTCTTATAGAGATTCTATTATGAATGTAACATGCTGTGTTAATTGCTTCTGCCCAGAAGATCTTAGCAATGTTAGTCTCATTGATCATGGTTCTGGCCATTTCTTGCAATGTTCTGTTCTTTCTTTCTACAACTTCATTTTGTTGGGAGTTCTAGGACAAGAGAAATCATGCGAAATGCCTTTTTTCATTAAAAAATATTTCAAATTTTTTGTTTTTCAAACTCTCCACCATGATCACTTCTGACTTTGACAATTCTAAGATCCTTTTAATTCTGAACTTGGTTACATAAAGCAACAAACACAGAATGTGACTCGTCCTTGTGGCTTAAGAACTTTACCCATGTTCATCTGCTATAGTTATCTACGATGACTAACCAATACTTCTTTCCACTAACAGACGCAGTCTTCACTAGTCCAAATAAATCTATGTGCAAAATTTCTAATGGCCTAGAGGTGGAAATAACATTTTTAGCTTTAAAAGCAGGTTTTGCAAATTTGCCTTTCTGACATGCTTCACACAGAGCATTTGAGCTGAACTTCAGATTACGAAGTCCTCTGACCAGATTGAGTTTGTTAATCTGAGATATTCTTCTCATACTAACATGCCCCAATCTTCTGTGCCAGACCCATTACTTATTGTTAACGTAAAGAAGGCATTTTACATTCTGACTCTTAAGTTCAAAAAGTTTTATCTTATAAATGTTGTTTTTCCTCTTTCCATTAAACAGGATAGTCCCTAGGGTGCTTTTGGGAAAGCCATGAGATATTACATTTGATGCAGACATCTGCCTTATATATTTCCTTCAAGAGGATTTAAATTTACCTCCACCGTAAAACCTTTGTAAATGGTGTTTGTGTTGTAAGCTAAAGTTATATCGGCCATCTCCAAGGGAGGATGGAGGGAGTTGGAGTAGGAGTGTGGCCCGGTTAATTTTACCAGGGTCCAATGTGAGCGCCACTGTATTGGTCAAAAAATACATGTGTTTGTTCCTCCTGAAAGGGCAGAGGGACTCAAAGACCTTTGTAAGTATATTACATTGTATGTTGGTTACAACTTGCCCACGACGGTGAGAAACCATGTATGGTGGTGTTTTTTGATGATTTTAAGAGTCCTACTCATGTGAGGTGAGAGAATATGTACATGGACGATGTGCTTAGGTATAAGTGTATCATGGGTGTGATCAGTATGAGATATGATATGTCCTTCCTTCCTCGAGGGAGGTTATTTATAGAGGCCTCTAGGACCTATGGTTCTCTCTTTGGAAGAGTCATCGTCCACTCAATCAATGGTGGACCCTTGAATCTATATCTCTAAGGAGGATATGAGTTAGTTAATGACTCTTACTTCTATCTGTCCCAAAAATGTCTTATCCCACGTTTCTCAAGACTGACTATAGTAAAATCTTGGGGCGAGGCGATACCTTCTATTGGGCGACATGTAACTGTCCCCTCTCTTAGAGCGTCCTATAACCCTCGCCCTAATAGAATCCTTTTAAAAATATAACACTACAATATAATTTATATGTTTGTTTGAATTTTAATATAATAGTACTCTAAGTTCGAATTTTAAGATGTGATGTTTTGAATTTCATTAACACTTATTGAATTTGATTAAGAGTTTTTTATTAAACCTTGTGCTTTAATATTTGATTTTATGATTTTTTTAATGAGTATTGCATTATTTGTTTAGTTTTTCATTTAATATATGTTTTATAGTTATTATTCATATAATTAGTCTAAAAAGTAGTTAAGTAGCAGTTATTCTGCTATATCATTTTTGGAGCCGGCAACTCAAATATCTGGTATTGAAAATTTTGATTATATGAGATATAAGAAATTTGAAATAAAAGAAATGACAGAATTAAAATAAAAAACAAAATACACTAGAAAAAGATCTAATAAATAATACATAAAGAGAACAAGTGACACATTGAACAATATATCCTCGTATAGTTGAAGATAACTTGAAACATATTGGTTCCTTATTTGAACTTTATTTAAAACATAGTTTAGACACATTAGAAGTTTGTCCCTTGTTCAAACGCTTCCTTTGATCTGAGAACTATATTTAGATGTTATATCATGAAACCTATCCCATATCATCACACCTCCATACTTAGGTGATCTAACAATAGGCAGCAATTGATTTATGAGATCTGATGATGGCACAAAACCATTCTGAGATGCACTTCTTGAGGCAGGAAGTCCAACAAAAAAGTTTTTAGCAGGGATAGAATTGATCCACCGGTTCCATGAATTCTTAAACTTAGTTGGATTGTTTGTTTCAAAGTTGCAAATAGGATTATTGTAAAATTGAACCCAAACATAGTCAAAAAGGCCAGTAGAAAGTGCCCTTTGAAGTATATTATCTTGAAAGGGACACATTGGTGCAGCAGTTAAATAAAACTTTTTTGTAGAATCTGAATTATAATGATCATGTAGCTTTCTAGCAAGTGTTGCATAGTGGAGGTTACTACCTCCTTCAATATCAAAATCCACTCCATCTAATATAGCATCACCAAAAGGTCTAGAGTTTGAGTTACCTCCCAAAAAGTTGTTCCATATGTAGTCAGCAAGTTGCATAGCATCTTCTGGTGATGAGAAAGAGTATGTGTTTCTATACTCACCACCAATGGAAAGCATAACCTTAATGCCTTTATTTTGACAGTTCTTTATGCTGTTTCTCAAGTTTTGGCAATTATTTGGGACACAATGGCCAGCTAGATTTAACTGTGGTGGACGGCCAATTCCAAAAGTTGAAAGGAATGCTATGTTTACTATTTGGAAGAGACCAGAGTTACATGTGTCTATCAAATATCCATCACCATTGTTTTGGCCCCAATAAACCACTAAACTACCTGCATTTGTTGATTGGAAAAACAAGGCAAGTGAAATTGAAAGGAAAAGAAGAAAAGGGTAAGAAAGTTTTTTGCCCATGACTCTAGTTTACAAGTTCCATGTTAGAGTTACTAATTTATAGAAACTTAAAACTTATAAGGAGGGCTACACAAAATGTCTTGCTTTCATGATTTTCTTGTTGGTGGGATCCATGACACTAGCAAGAGTGAACTATTCCTTATAATGACAAAGACCATGACTTTTGATTAGGGATGCAAGTCCGTCGAACATATAGGGGGGTGTGTGTGTGTGTGGGAGGGGGGTGATTTTAAGAACGTATTCTTTAGTGTGTCTTTTCTACTTTTTTTATAACCCTGAAAAATCTGGTAGTATTAATTTTTACAGTTGGAATTTTACTGATAGTTTTGTACGGTTGTGATTGCACCGACAATTTTTTATGTTCTATAAAATATTATTTTTTATTTATATAATCAAGATTATACAGAAATAACAGGTATACAGGCAACAAGCTACACCGCTATCAACTGCTCCATAATGATTCCAAACTTATATAAATATGCATCATATATTCTTAAAAAACCATCTCATAATGTCTCAATATTTATATCTCACATTTGTGTATTTAAATGGCGTGAAACATCCTATTGATTTTAGGCTCACACATGACACTCCTCTTGATGTTATGAAATTCAAATTGGATAATCTTGTGCACCATACCTGCAATAGAAATGTGGTTAAGACCGACTATTATTCACCGTCGACCAATAATAATGAAAATATTAAATTCAATAAGTTTGATTGAGTTAAAGACAGATAAATATTTAAAATTCATGTATAGCACAAATCACCAATACAAAACAAATGGTAAGATGAAGGTGGAAGTAAAAATTATCAAATCTATTGACAATATTATCCAAATGTTGAAATGTCCTAAATCATCTAGTAATATTTAAATTTTATTCATGTTATTTTTTAATTAAGTTGTGCCAAATAATGTTTGTGTTAAATTATGTTCACCATGAAATAATGTAATGCTAATTTTTATTTAATGAAATATTAAGATAAAATATCAATAATATATAAATAATATCAGCAATATTAAAAAAATAAACAAATTAATGAAATATTATATATTTTAATTAATTAATTATTCATTTTAATTATAGTTATAAAACTAATCATAACAAAGCTTTTTATTTTAAAAAAGTCACTTTTTTCACGCAATTATAAATAATAATAATAATTAATTATAATTAAAAATAATAGCGATTTAAACAATTATTTGAGTAACAGGTTCCATATCATTTTTTTTTTAATTTGTAACATGTACTATTATAAAATGAATCAGTGGTAGTGGTTATATGTAAAAAAGACAATTATATAATTAATTGTAGAAAAGTTATGTAGAGAGATAAAAATAAATTGAACATTGTAGACACATCATTATATATATATATATATATATATATATATATATATATATATATATATATATATATATATATATATATATATATATATATATATATATATATATATATATATATATATATATATATATATATATATATATATATATATATATATATATATATATATATATATATATATATATATATAAATGTCCTTATCTGATCTTAATGATAATTTTATTTTAGGTGAATTTATTAGTTTTATATTTGAATTTTTTAAATTGCTCTTATTTTTTATTATTTATATTTTTATGAATTTTTTGTGAAGTTTTTAATTAATTAAACGATTGAGATCTACATGTCAACCATTAATGTATAACACAATGTCGTTAAATGGGATAGTCACACGGTGGTCGACGTATGAATAAAAGTGTATATCATTAAAGACCAAGTTGTCTATATACATCTTGAATGGCTCTGTTGCCTGATTTCTTCGGAACAGGTCGAATGCAAAAGCACGTGGTTTATCTTCAGTAAATGTAGGATCAAGTGACCAACCAAATATGCGAGGGAAGTTCGTAGGATTCTGGCCTGAAAAAACAAAAATTATTTGTTAGTAATGGCATTACAATAATTAACAAAAGGACATATATACAATATAAGACCAAGAAATATTATCGTCAAAAGTGTGATGTTGCCGGTCATTTGCTTCGTCTTCCACCTACAGCCTTCAGACAACTTATAGTACAAGTAAACCAAACATGCAGCCCCTAGTTATACTCATGGATCCACTCAAAGTCCTTAAAGTATCACGGGTATATAACATCCGTGTGTTGCACTCGTGTCCACAAAAATGGTAGTGTCAACCAAATAAAACAGTTATGCTCTCATAACATACACTCTGTGCTACCCTACCTGCTTAGGATCACCATCAGACTATTGTGCTCTTGCTATCTTATCATCAAACACCTTATGCAAATATCCCTTCTTTGTCTATCTCCTTCATAACACTCTATGAGGTAAGTCATAAGTACTCTACCATCAAGTCCAGTACCGCTTCTTTGTCACATATCCCTTGGTTTAAAAACCTCCCTATAACCGGAAGATGCAGAAGACATGCGACATCGTCTAGTGTGATCGTCATCTCACCATGTGGTAGATGGAATGATGACGTCTCCGCATGTCATCTCTCAGCAAAAGCGTTAATCATACCATCATTAGTGGTAGTATATCCAGTGAGGGTCAAATCTATCAACCTTGATAGGTGGAAGACATCCTGAAATCATGGCTCATTAGGTGTTATCAGGCGACTGATCTTCCATATATGATTGTTGATCTTTAGCGGATCATGTTCCTGCATACATGGTTTAACAAGAATTATTCAACCAAACAAAACTCGATAATAAAATAAACACTACAAAAATTAATAGTTCCAACCAATGTTTACCTTTTCGTCCCATATATGTCTGGAAACATGGTCCAGGTATAGAGGGAGCAATGATAAATCGGATGGCCCTCCCCCAAAACTATGAGGTTTCGCAGGTGCGACTTCATCTTCCTAGGCCTAGGCCTGGGACGCCTGTGTTGCCTCAGGTGCCGCCTAGGACTAAATTTAGGTTGCATCAGGCATCGATGTTGTAGCCTAAGACTAGGGCTGAGATGCACCAAGCATCGATAGTGTGGCCTGAGACTAGGGTACCTCAGGTGTCGAGTGGCAGTGTGATGTCTCTCTTGCCTCAAATACATGCATATGTGAAGTAGTGCGTCTATGTGAAGATGAAGGCGTGAAGGCACGAGCAGGAGAACCTTGCCTGCTGTGGGAGGATAAAGAAGAAGAAGGAGAAACATGAACACCGAAACCAAATGCCGTCTCCGCCACAATATGTCCAAAGGCAGTAGGAGTCTGGGATGGTTGACTTCTGTTGTACCCCAAAATTTGCCCTCCCATATTCTTCAAGAAATTGCCAAGCCAAGTCATAAAACTCCCCCAAGGGTTGCACAGTCCAACTGTCTCCTATACAGTCAAAACTAGGGTTTGTGTTCTGATCAAGAAAAGGAAGTGTTCAAAGGTCCAATCAAGTCTCATATGCTTACAAACATGGTCAAGCATCCTCATATCAAGTTTCAAGGCATTCAGCTCAAGATTGCACAGTCAAAACCCTAAATTGCACTACAGTCAACTGTAGGGGCAAAATGGTCATTTGACAGTCAAAAGTTCAAATTTTTGGTCAACATATCATTTTGAAGCCACAAACATCATTTGATCAATGTTTGATCATGATTCTCAAAATTTGGCTCAGAAATCATCAAAGATGCAAAAGTTGCTATATTTGGACAGTTGAAAAAGTCAACTGAAATTGACCAGAGCATAACTTTCACATGGATTATCAGAAAAATCCCATCCAAATCTCATTTTGAAGAGAAAGACATTTCCTACAACTCATCTTCATACTTCAAGTCCAAGAAATGCTCTCACAAAAAGTTATCAATTTCAACATTATAGGTCATTTTCAAAAGTCAACAAAAAGGGACTTTAAGTCAAAGGACATAACTTGAGATTGGAAAATCAAAATGACATGGGACCAAAGGCATTGGTTAAAGGACTCAAAGACCTTTCCGAAATGTCCAAGAACATGAGAAAATCTTAAGAATTGAGCAAGTTATGCCTTGTAGAAGTTGGGAAATTTTTGTGAAATGGCAAAAGTCAACTATCCTTGAAACTTCAATTTTTGACAAAAGGGCCCACTTTCTTCCACTTGACTCAGCTTTGTCATGCCACACACGTGTCCCATGATTAATTTCAAGATCAAACATTGATTTTTCTATTTTATTTAATTTTTGATAATTTAATTCATTTTAAATCTTTAAAAATTCAAATAAAATTCAAAAACCAATGGAATAGTGTCATTTGAGTTTGGATAGCTTCCATATATCATGGGCCAGCTCACAAACTCATGCTAGGGTTAAATTGCACACCTAGGCTTGGTTTGCTTAAAAAAAGAGAAAATTGGTTAATGGTGAAAACCCTAGGACTAGTTCTCTCATGGGCATGAATCAAGGCCAACTAATGACCTAATTCTCTTCCCTCATAAGTGCTAAGTCAAACCCTAACCATAACACACCAAATGCTGCGCTCAAAAGCTTATTGAAAACTTGAAAAATTGGCCATATAACTCAATTCTGAAATCAAGGTTCTAGGTGGATTCAAGTCCTAAGATTGATTCTAATAGCTTCCTTGACAATCTCTGAACGTGTGCCAATCCCTAACATCAACCAAAACGCAAAGAATTGGTATAATGACTCAAAACTGTACAGATGAAAACTTGGAGTCGTGCATCATGATTTAAGCATTTTTCTTAAGTTTTATTTGTTGATTCATGATTGTTGTTTTGTTCTGATGCTAACCATGCCAATTAATTTCGTTTTTGTGCAACATATGTGATTTGGCCATTGATGCCGCCTAGGGTTTGCAGGTTTTAGAATTGGGGTTTCCCAAACCAAGTGAAATTAGAACTCCAAATGACCACCAATGGATTCAGCGCATCAAGACGAAGAAATCTTGACCCTCGCGCCCAATTTATGAATTACCTAGCGCTAATCGCTATTTTTCCAAAAGCAGTCTAACACCATGTTTGCAAAACCGTTGCTTAAGGTTTATGTTTCAGG